CCCCAAAACCCCAAAACCCCAAAACCCCAGAGGGGGTATTAAGCTTGAATTAATATAAGATAGGCTATCATTAATTGTAACTAGCTTTGGATATTTTGGAACTTGGGGGCTTCATTAAGCTTAGAATAGAGGATGTCGCTAACTTTTGGGGGTAGAAGATTGCAGAATCATTATCTTTTGATTCTCTAAAGGAGTAAGAGAGGAGTTTACTCTGTATCTTTGATATTAGGTGGCTTGAGACTTGATTGCATGCTTGCTACTGTGAGACAAGGTCTTCTATGATGGTTCTGATCCACCATAGTTTCTATTTGATTATCTATTGAAGTTAATTCACAAACATACTTTTGAGTGATTTCTTGCTAAACACTCCTGATACAAGTTTGTAGTCTTGCTCTGTCCATTCTTCATTCATATAATCATTCTATTTTTAGAATAAGAGCTTACTATGAACTTGTTAATTTTGATGCGGTAAAGCATCTTATTGACCAAATTGGCAAATAATTTTGGAGTTTTCTTATCATTATCTGCTTGAACATCAGTGTCATCCCCACTTTCATCAAAAGTAAGCACATTGGATCTCTGATGTTTGATAATATACTTCTCGCTATCATCTAGGAGTGATCTGACAAGTGCTTGGAGATTCCTCATGTTCTTTCAGAATCTTACGGCATCAAATTCATGAGCATACTTGTCTTGCCCTTTGGTGTAATACTTAAGTCTCCTTTTGATATTAAGATTGTTCTTTTTATTGACACAACAGTGAAACATAAACTTGAAGTATCCACAAGCATTGTAGAAGAGGTCAGTAATTCTCCAATCGTAATTATATCTTCTCTGAATAGACTGTTTTGCTTTTTCACTCAGCTCCTCTTTGTAATTTTCATCGAAGTTAACATTTCTCTCACATTGTCTATGAGAATATTCTATATCTTTTAAACTTGCTTCAGAAGAATCTTTGTGTTTTGGTGCATTCATAACTTTGTTTGTTGGAATTCTTTCATCTAAACTGATAAATATGCAATACCTTGAGAAGGTTTCTCTGATTCTTCAAGCAGATACATCTTTGAGAATATTGTGTAAAAGAACAGTCTCTCTGCAAATAAACTAACGATGAGTCCACCAGCAATCGAGAATATCTCAAGAAGACCTCCGACGTTTCCAAAGGCTTCTAGGACAGTAAAGACTGAACGATCGTAAGACTTTGAAGATGGGTCTTTAGTGAATCGGATAGCTATGAAGTATAAGAATTATCTTACCAAGAAGGCTTTCATCGGGGTTCCCTTCCGTAGCCATTCGCTCTATGATTGTATCAAAGCCAATGAACTCTTTGTTATTTCCTCCAGGAGCGAATGCAAAGTAATCGTCTTGGATTTCAGCTTCATTTTTCCTATAAAGTTAGGTAATTGCTTACTGAAGCCTGACACCAATATTTTGAGAGAACCCTGGTATGAGGTAGAACAAGAACCTATCATCGAGATATGTCTTGATTGGATTGTCATAATCTTCAAAATCAAAATATGTATTCACCTAAAATAATCGATTCTTTATCGTAAAATTTTGACTTTTCAAAGCTCGGTATGAAATAAAGGTACAAGTTGTACTTTAAAAGAAACTGACGAAGCTTGTTAGTGATGACACTTACAACATAGAGTCTGATCTGGACCTGAGTCATGATGTAGTCGATTGTGGCATTTGATTGTCAAGTAACAGGACTTGTCTCATTGTCACACCTACTAATGATACCATACTCTTGCCTGGCAATACTGAAGGAGAAATATGATACAGTTTCTGAGAGAATGTTTCCAAGCACTGAGAAATTTCTAGAGTCAGGACAATAAAATCTAAATGCTATTTGTTATACATTTACTCATTAAGCTTGAGATCATCAATCTATAAATAGTTAATCGGCTTACCTCTTGCTGATTGTCATATCTAAAATTGTTTCCACATCTAGAGACACTAATAGGGACCTTATTAGTTATTCCTAAAAGGTTCTCAAATGAATTACCCGAAGCTAAAATTAATGCCCTAATTACTTTGGTTCAAGTAAAATTGATCGATTGCAGCTGTCCCATAACTTGGTTCATTGAATATGTCAAAATCAAATCCATCTATCGTGGCTCTGACTGCAAACTGAAACTTTGTATCACTGATAGTTTTGAAGGAGAATTTACGTGAGATTAATAGGATCTGTGTCATTTAAAATATCTAAAGGATGGTATTAAAATAAACTAAGATCCAAAAAGAAAAAATCAAAATATTTTATTGCATTTTGGAATATCAAATCTTATTAAAAATTGTTGGTGATCGAGAATGAATTTTTTAATTAGGATCTTACTACGGACAGTGGTGTTCACATTTTTAGAACTATTCTTGTTGGCTAAATAATCAGATAAAGCTGTTACTAATCATGATGGATATCATTTGGTAGGTGTACAGAAGGATCACTATCTTGATGATCAGCGAGATCTAAACTTAAGAGTCTATCTTACAATTCCTCCAAAGAGAGTCTTGAATTCTCTATATAGAATTAGGTGAACTTCTCGATCTAGACGACCATTTTGAATTGATTTAAATCCTTTTGGCTTACTCTTGTCCTTTAAGAGTAAATGTGATTCTCTTGGGGTACCTATTAATGATCAGTCATCAAAATAGCAGATTAATTAATGATCGCGTACATATCTACCCTTTTAATAGTGTTGAACATGTAGTCGGAAACTCCTGTAAGGATTTTATTAGCCATTTTATTTTATTTCAAAATTAGAAATTTTGCTTGGGGTTTTGGGGTTTTGGGGTTTTGGGGTTTTGGGG